TTTCAATCACAGTTACAATACAATTTAATATCATAGTTATAAATACAGTACTTCACAACAATTTAAAAGACACCTTGCTCTGTTTTCTACTAAAAGCCTTTCCTTGGTTTCAACTTGTGTAAGGCAGGGCAAGAACGTTAACATTAATAATTCAACCAACTTCCAAGGATATGGAAAACATCTAACAGAATTAGGAATGACAATTTGTCCCAATCCCTGTGAGGCTCCGCGAGGATCCCCACCACGAGAACAGGGAGGGGAGGAAAATTCCTCCCATGGAATATGTAAATTAATTTTATTTTAGATTTAATTCAATTTTCAAATCCAAATCCAAATCCAATCCAATAAAAATTAAATTTAACCCAATTTTACCCAACCCAAACCATCGTTAATAAGTTGTTGCACCTATGATTTTGATAATTACAAAACATATTTGAAAAACTAATTGGTTTATTTAAGTGTGTAGTTAAGTTGCTAAAAGATTGCAAGTAAATTTGGACTACACTAAAAATGGATCAGAAAGACTTGAGTATGTGCAGAGAGCCGGCTCTTGAAAGTTGCAGTCGGTTCTGATGAAATGGAAGTGCAGAGAGTTGGCTTTGGAAGCTATAGTCGGCTATACAGGCAAAAATTTGAAGACCGTTGTTTGGCGCGTATAGAGAAAAGACGCAAAGTCGGCACCAACTTTGCAGCCAGCTGTAAGGGTGCATTTAATGCACAACGATCAAGTTATTTGAAGATTATTTAATGTGTTTAAAGTTTGAATCTCAAAGCCGGCTCTAGGCTTTGCAGTCGGTTGTGGAAGAAACCAGAATGTTCAGCAAACCCGCAAAGCCGACTTTGCATTTTGGAGCCGGCTCTACGAAGAAAACAGAATGTGCAGAATCCCGCAGAGTCGGCTGTAGAAATGGTGACCTGGTTGTATAGAGCTGGCTCTAGAAGTGTAAGCCCGCTCTACTGACAATTCTGCAACTCAAATTAAGCGACTTGCAAAGCATTAAATGACCCCCAACGGTTAGTAACGGCTATTTTCGACCATGGGGTTATAAATTTGGTTGATAGAAGATCTGGAGAAAGTTTAGAGAATATTGCATTGAATATCTTTACCTACCTACATGAGTTTTAACTTGAGTTTTTTATCTTTAAAAAATCTTTACTAGTAATCCTCTTCTTGTTCTATTTGTGAGTGATCTTGGGGGTGTGATTAATCCTTCAAGAGTGATTTGTAGAGAGGATTTTCGAGATTTAAGTGTAAAGAGGTGAGATTTAAGAGAAACACCCTTCTTCTTGTAAAAGGATTGAGTGGCTTCTTTAAACCACCCTTGTTGTTGTTAGGGGAGAGTGTGGAGGAAATCCTTGGTAAGTGAAGTCAAGGTAGATGACTAAATTCCAAGTGATTAGACTGAACCTCTATAAAATTATTGAGCAAGCTCTTCTTCTCTACTCTTTTTATTTTTGGTTTTGTGGTTGCAAAAAAGGGAGAATTTTTGGAACTCCAATTCACCCCCTCTCTTGGAGTACATTGAGTCAACATAAGTTTGTTGATTTAGTTATTTATGTTGAATTGATTTTTATTTATTTGGACAATTTATATTTGATTTAATATTTAAAAAATTTTGGTTAATTATACTTGAAATTTTAAAATTTTATTCGCTATAATTAAATATTAATTAATTATATATAAAAATTTATATTTTAATATTAATTGATGGAGAATGAAGATCTCGTGAAAAATAGAGATGTAAAAATTTATATTTTAATATTAATTGATGGAGAACAAAGATCCCGTGAAAAATAGAGATTGGGGGCAAAATTTATCCCCCATAAAAAATTTTCGCAAGGATCCCGTCTGCGCGGCGGGGGTGGGGATGAAGACGGAATGGGGACGGACTCCTCGGCCCGTTGTCTAGGATTAGTGAAGGGTGGTTTGGCAGCCTCAACCCAAGGTCCTCAACCGAACCGGTGTGAGGGCTCCCAACCGAAGATACAGATGGGCTGAAATTCAGATGTAATTGGGCTATCACCAGGCCCACTGACGTAAACCCCTCAAATCCAAAAACAGAATACACGGTACACAATTTAACGGTGCTTTATACTCCATATTTTTTTTTAATCTTAAATTACACAATAAAAAGCAACTATATTTCGTTCCTTAACCTACTCCTATATTATTCAAAGTCAAAATTTTTTATTTCTAATAAAAAAATTACCACTAATATACTTGTATCATTGGCATACTTCATACTTATTCTGCCCAACAATATATCTACAAAAGATCCCAACGGTTATTGCTGCTACATTTGGAAACTTCAACATAAATTAACACGCTAAAACAAGTAGGCTGCAGCCATTGGTGTAACCATCTAAAAACACCGTGCAACCTGCAAGGGTTGCTTAGCTGGATCTAACATTTCATCTCACTGCCTAAGAACATGCTGCCTAAGAACATGCTGCCTATAACTATCACCATAAGTTTTCAGAAAAGCTACTGACATCCCTTGTCCAATTGATAACCAAATCCAAAACACCATGCACAGAACAGCCCCACAAAAAAAGGGAACAGCCCCACAACCACGAGAGAATCAAAGCAATAATGTGGCCTTAATTTTACAATTTTATTTTTTTGGTGATCTTAGATACATCATTTTTCATTTTCAGAAAAAGACATAGGGAAAACACCACTCAATTTGGATGTACCTAAAAAGTGCCAGAAGAAAGAGGGAATGATACAGCCTATGGGTCAGCTCATGAGCCCTTCCTTCTCCTTTTTCACCCTTCTATTCTTCCATGGAACTGCCTGCTTCAATCCTTCATAAATATTAGCCTGCCATGCCAGGAAGAAAAAATGTCCTTAAAAAAAAAAAAGTACTATTAAGGCTCTGGAATCTTGATTAATCTATAAAAAGAGGTAAAAATTAAGAGATACTAACATTATAAACAACGTTAAAAATCTATAGGACTTCGTGATATTTAACATTAAAAATACTTTTAAAAATTTTAATTTTAATTACATAATAAATAAAATTTAAATAAAATTAATATTATATTTCATTCTTCTATTATTATTAAATATTATAATATTTTTTAACATCAAGACATCATTCTGTTTTTCCAAACCTCGATTCCTCAATATATAATCCAGTTCCCATTTTTGGGTGATTTTGATTAATCTAATTAAGTAATGAAGATTTGTGAATTATGCAAAAGTAGAAGGTAAAGCTTACCCAGAAATGGGCCCTGGCGTGGGGAAGATTAGCAGAGCTACCCATTCTTCTAATCGTGGTGATCTTCACGGTGGTACTGCGGCTGATGTCTTCCCCTTGACGACCGGAATCATTTTCTTTGTCCTCAGAAGATGGAAAGATGTAACTACCCCCGGCAACCTCTTTTCTACACGTCAAGGTCCTTCTCCTCCAGAAGCCAAGAATATTCCCTTTCTCTTTCTGGGATTTCTTGCTAACAGTCAAGGATTCATAAGGCAGAGCCGGTTCCGGGCTGGAATCACCGGTGGCACGGAAAGAACCGTAGCACTGGCCTCCCATTCTGAATGAATAAGACTGGAACCTCGACGACCGGCCGATGTATGTCGAACCATCCAAGAGTTGGGTGGAGGGCGAGGAGTTTTTGGCTATTCTGAAAGACTGAAACCTCGAAGACCAGCCGATGTACGGACCTTCGAGGACGGTGGTGGGCGAGGAGTACTGTTTGGCATCCACAAGCAGCCTCGGGGGCAGTTCCAGACATTTCTTGGCGAAATCATCCGGAATCGTAAAAGTTGAAAGCGCAGTGCAGGGCTTGGGTTTCCCCGGTTCCTCTTCCCAGTGAAATGGGACGGAGGCGGAGGGCGGGGTCGACGCCCCTGACCTCTCCGGGGACTGCATTCGTAGATGGGTGTTTGAAATTGAGAACAGGGGAAGCTTCAGTTCGGAAAGCGACTCTTTCTCTAGATCAGAAGCCATAATTTTTGCGTTTAATTTCTAGTTTCTGTGTATTTTATGGAGGGTGGTTTGCGGAGGGAAACGGAGGAGGAAAAAAGAAAAGGTCGTGGGAGAGAAAAATGAAGAGGGCGAAGAATGCTGCCAAAAGCCCCATACCATAATAATGTAATGTGTACTGCTAAGGTTATGAACAACGTGTTTTTTTTTTTTTTCGATAACCACGTCAATACGTAAAGTTGGTTATAATTAATCTGTATCGAGTTCGGTCAGATTTCATGTCAAAAAAATTTTACTAAAATTTATTTTTTTATTTATACTATTTAAATTAAAAATATGCCAACCGGGTCTGTAACCCAATTGGTTGGTCCCCAAGTTTTAGGGCTTGAGTGAGCCGGAGGTCAGGGTTTCGAACTCTACCACCGCCGTAAACTCCACCAACTTACAACCTAATGGTCACGCGCCTCAAATAAGGGGTGGAACGTTCACTTTCTTGAAAAAATTTCAATTGCTAACAAACTAACTCTATTAACTTCCTAATCATTTATCTGGTCAAAAGAAAAAAAAAATTAATTAAAAATATTATTTTAAAAAAAATTAAATTTCTTTCACTTGAATCAACCAACGAGTTGTTGGTAGGTTATGAACAACATTGATTTGGTTAAAACCGTTTATTTATTTATTTTATTAAACAGTTAGGCATTAGATACAAATATTTATTTATAAATTAATTTTAATATATTAAATAATAAATGTTAATTATTTTTAATAATTAAATTATTATAAAATTTTAATAATTTTGATGATTATAACAAAATTAACAGGGGTGATAACGTGCACAATGTTTATTACCAAAAAAAGAAAAAAATGATAACGTGCACAATGTTTGGTATGATCGCTACACTTCTCCTACCAATGAAATCAATGTATTTTTGATCTTACATTTAAATTAAATGCAATCTTACCTTTTATTAAAGCTCAAAGCTGGCGTCAATATTGAGAAATGCTCGTGGCCTAATGGCCATCTCTCATTTGTAAAAGGCATTTTATATTAAGTTTGGTATACGTGAAGTTTGAAACTTACTCTTAGTATAAAAAAGGAAAAAAGGAAAAAAGAAAAAATTGAAATCAGTACTTAAAAATTAATGTTTTTTAATACATTAGCATGATGGTACATTTTTAATTTTATTTTAAAAAATTAATGGTAAATGACTGAGTGCTAAACAAAAAAAATATCTTGAGTGTTAAAAATAAAAAATAAAAAACCAGAAAGTGGTTTACAAAAAATTGCGAGATAAATGGCCTTCATCTATGTCAAAATTAGAAATGAAATTTAAGTTTGTTAAAAGGCATTTTTTTACCATGTTCTAAATAAATTAAAAATATAATTATTATATTTTTATATTAGTTAATATTAAAAAATATAAATTTTATTTTATTTAATAATTAATGT